GATACAGAATATTTCATTTACTATACCCACAGGCACACAAATACATATTATACATACTCTCACATATATATATATATATATATAATATATATATACACAGATACACAGATACACAGATACAAATACACATACACAAGTATTGATGCACACATATATACTTTCACAATTTCTCACATACTTGCACACATGAACACAAAAACATGGCCACAAGCAGACACACACAATTTGCCCAAAGTATCCCGACTTTAGGGTGGTGTTTCAGTCGAGCAAAGATACAAAAATCCAGAAAAAATGGTCTTACTTTGCACTCTGGTGGTGATGGCGGAGACGGCCTTGTTCACCAGGGTCACCAGCTGTTCTCCTTCCATGTCTGGGGGCTCGTCAGTCGGGGTCAACTCTTCCATTTTCTGAGACAACAACAACAAACAAATTATTTTTGCTATGTTATGAAACAAGACTGAAAACAACTGTAACTCCATTTTGAGATAAAAAAACAACCCCAAAACAACCAACCCAGCAACTTTTTTCCTGCAGTATAACAGCATGCTTTTTTGTTTAAAAATTCTCAATCTTGGGGCAACTATAAAATTTTAAAACGTTTTAGTAAGTTTTACAGCACTTGCAACACAATAAGGCTGTATAAGTGCAAAAGATTAGAGGTGTTACAAGAGAGTAACAAATACAAAAAAGAAGGAGGGGAGATAAAGACGACAGATGTTTGATAAGAAAGAAGGAACAAACCAGGGACCACCAAGAGGCAAAAGAAAAGAGCTTTGAGTCGTAACAGACAAACCTTCTTGTGCCAGGAGATGTACTCGTCCCTCAGGATGGTCCTCAGGAAAGAGGGCAGCTTGTACTGGGGCTGGACCAGGCAGCGGGCTGTGGCCACCATAGCAGCGGTCAGCGGGCCCGTCACACCGGTCTGGGTCAGGAACTCAGCAATGTTTGGGGTCAGACGGAACGGAACGGGGCGGTTAGCGTCAAGGTCACCTGGAGGTCAAAGTTGAGAGACGTTTAATGAATACATGCGTGTGTGTGTGTGTGTGGGGAAGGGGGGATACTTTTCCATCTAATCATCCACATTAAGCTTGAAGGATATATTGAGATATCCACAGTCCTGATTGATGTTGGTATATCAAAACCCCCCACTCCCCCACACACGGTAAGCAAACACAAAAGGCACAAACACACACACACACAATACTCACCTGTCTGATCATCGACATCAAACTTGAAGAAGGAGATACTGAGATATCCACAGTCCTGGTGCAGGTACATTTGGTCTGGGTTCATGCGGGTCAGATGCAGCACAAACTCTGCCAGTCCCATCAAAGCCAGCTGGATGGTCAACTGGAGGAACATATAAAAACAACACCATATCGTCAGGGTCGTTTTACAATCGTCGCCCCCATAAACTGTCCTCAGAGAAAGTTGCATTTGAAAATAGCAAAAGTTGCAAGAAAAATTAGCAAAAGTTGCAATCAAAGTTGCAAGACGTGTAGAGTTAAAACAATGCCTCGGAACTATTGGAATACATTGTTGCTATGCTCATTGCAATCAAAAGTAATCAATATGAGTTTTGTTGGATCAAAATCAGAAGTTAAATGTGAAGAATGTCTACTCAAAAAAACAAAACAAAACTGCATGGAGGTTACATGGTGTACAAAAACAGTCTGTCCCTTGACACATGCGTCAGGTCCTTACACTCTCGCTGGCGTCGGGCAGGTGTGACCAGCGTGGTTTGGGGGCTGTTCAAATATAATCTTACACTTTGTTTGGGACTTTTTGCCCCCCCCCCTTACACTTATTCGTTATTTTTACTTGAGGAAGAAAATTTTGGTGTTTTTAATGAAATTTTATTATTATTTTTCCAAATTTTGCGTGAAATCGGCAACAATTCGCGAACGAAAAAGGTAAAAGTTGCGCTGAGGGCAAAAGTTATGCGCGCAACTTGCTGGTTGCGGGCGCGAATTTCTCTGAGGACTGATAAAGCCATCATTCAAATCAAGACACCAAGGGGCATCATAAAATATAGTTTCCTTATTTCATTCCAAGTTTTTAATTGAAAAATAACAAGTGCCCAAGTCATGGTTCTGATTTGGGCATCCTCTTTTTCCTAAATTTTTCTAAAAAATAAAAAAATAAAAAGACTTTGGTGCTTATAGAAAGACACTGATAATAAATGAACTATAACTAAAGAGTAAGACACATGTTGCACCGTTAATCCTTAGAACCCTGTAGCGTTGTAAATTGATCTTTTTTAATTGACAAATAAGTTGTTGAAATTTTAGAAAACACATTCAAATGAACATTTGCAAACTGAGAAATAAGATGAAGCAATGAAGAAAGCACGTTGGAAAGAACAATGAGGATTATGGGAGGTGGCCGAAGCAGAAATTTAAGGGCACAACACAAACATGACAGCCCGACCCACTCACCGTTTTACGGAAGGTCCAGTAATCGGTGGCATCCAGGAAAGTGTTGAGAGCCCACTCCTTGAGGAGACCCCGGGGCACCATGTTGGTCTGGACCTCCTTCAGGATCTCCCGCAGTACCTGGTGGGAAGCCTGGGAGCCGCGGGCCTGGACTGTGGCCAGCCGCTCGTAGTATCGGGCGATCGGTGCGTCAGGCTCAATACCGCGCTTGTTGGTGCGCTGGGACAGCCGGAGAGAAAAACCAGGTTGTCATGATGTATATATACAGAAATGACGCATTTTACTCTGTTTGACTAAAGGGTATCACATTGACACATCATAGGTCACGATGTACATATACTGATATGACATATTTCAGTTTAGTTCCGTTAAACTAAAGAGAATCACTTCCACCTGACAGCAACGAATAATTTTCTTCTCTAAAATTTTCTTCTTTCACCTCCACTTTTTGCCTCCTCCTCCCTCCTTTCACCATGGCTTCTCACTCTATCTACTGCTACTCCTGGATCCTTACTGCTGTCTTTAGGCTCGGTAGTTGCTGCTAAAATTGATACTACCAGACTGAAAATGCTTAATGCGTGTGTTCTGCGCGTTCATATGACCATATGCTGTTGCAAGAACCGTAAAACACTTACCAAAACCAAAAAAACCTCTCAAAACGTCCACACAACAAAGGTTAGTGCAAGGAAAAAGCAAGCCCAACAGACAAACTAATATTAGAGGTAGGACCTTCCACTGATGCTTTCAAACCGCCCGTGTTGAGAGAGAGAGAGAGAGAGAGAGAGAGAGAGAGAGAGAGAGAGAGAGAGAGAGAGATAGAGAGGGAGGGAGGGAGAGAGAGAGAAAGAGAGAGAGAGAGAGAGAGAATAAAGACAACAAGAGTGAAGTCACGGACAATGGACCCACAACACAAACCAAATTGTCACAAAAAGACCAGGAGAAGTAATGAAAAATTGTTGTAAGTTAGTCACTGAAATAAGTAAATCAATAGAAGCATAAGAGTAAAAGGCAAGACTGCCAAATAACTATACAGCGGAGCTCTGCAACATCTGCATGTTCAGTGCAGCGAGTAAGCAATCTATTTCTAATCATTTAGTTCTTCGTTTAATATACCTGCTTTATATTGTTCACAAAAGAATGGTTTGGTCATGTTTGTCCTTTGACAGGACATGGCTTCTTAAAATGCGTTTCTTCCATGGTGGTATGTAAAAGAATGGACAGACAAAAATTTTCCCGACATTTCATTCTCAACTTAACTCACTTGCGACTGGGCCCTTTCACCAGTCACAAGCGTTGAAGACTGGCGTTTTTGGGGGTATTTCAATAAATCACCACAACTCTCAGAATTACCCTATTGTAATTATTTTTTGACACAGTAAAGTAACATACAAGCTTAATCTAATACAAAAAACCAAAGTTGTCTAAGTTTAATACTTTAATTTGTATGATTTTTTAAAAATTGGCATGAATTTGATTTTCCAAAAAATTTCCAGAGACGTGACAAGTGGAATGAAATTCACTACAACAACAAAAATAAAAGTTCAAAGTGTTCTGGTTTGATTTGTATACATGTGCGAGTGTTTGGTGAATGTATAAACGCTGGTCTGTGCATTAATTCAGACCCATACACTGAAAATACATAGACAGATGTACGGCACGGCGTTGTGATTTCGTTGCGCGAAAAACAACACCGGTACTAGTGCTAGATCTAGCTCTAAAACTACGACTCGGGCCGTGTTCAGGTACATATCCAGGATCCTAACTATTAGACACATCATATTCTGAGACACTAAAACTAGTAAAACGTACAGAAGTATAGAAAACGGCAAAATTATGTGATTCTGGTTCATGCGACTTCTTCGACCGTTACTACGACGCGACTGTCGGATTACTATGAGCTGTATAGAAAAAAACAAAGCGCAAGTTCCGGTCTGTTCAACCCCAGTTGGGGTCACTGTCCTTCACCTTCAATAACTTAAAAACTACCGGCCCCAGAGATATGAAATGAAGTCTAAGTAGCTCAGGCTTGGCCAAACAAGGGTACGAGGCGGGTCTCGCGATCCGTGCGTGATTTGTAGAGCGAAAAAAAAATTCCAAAGTTGGTCACGCAGGGCTCGTGTGACCCGTCGCGAGCGTCGCGGCGGGGGTCACGCAACTGTTGTGTGACCCGTCTGAAGTGAGTTAAATTCTGTGCATTAATCTTATTAATTCCATAAAATAAATGATATTTTTCAGATCATTAACATAAAAAAGAACTTGAATGTCTTTTCTTTAAAAATATTTGCTACACGTATTTTTCTTTGAATAAAAATCTTTCACGAATTTGTGCCAACAACAAAATATTAGTGCATAAATATAGATCTGACAACATAATATGGGTTAAATATAGACTTGAAAACATAATACGTCACAAACATGAAACCCTATGAGGCCGAAATATAGACACCTGACAACACAACACATACCTGTTTGTAGATGTCCAGCAGTGACACAGACGCTGGGTTGTCCTCGATAAGTCTGAGCTGTGGTGACACCGACAACACTCGAGGAACGGTGAAATACAGTAGACGACGACTTGTTTCCTGAGGCAGGCACAAATAGTGATTGTTATTGTGGATGTTTTATAATATATAATTATAATATATAATATTCCGGGGGCAAGCCGCTTCTAGCCTGCCTCTCAGGTTCAACTTATCCAAAAGGGATACAACGTCCCAGGAGACAGAAAGTGATACTCGATTAAAAAAACAAAACAACCTCAGTGCATGGGAATCAAACCATCTTCTGCATGTGATTGCACAGTGCCTTACTATGCTCCAACACAGCCGCCAGTAGCCACAGATCATTTGGAGGAAGAGTTAAATTGAGTAAAGAGAAACATTTAGACTAAATTAGACACAAAAAAGGCCATTCAGTGTCGGGAAAATAAAAATTACTGAAAGAGTATTTGAGCAAAAGAGAAAAAACATTAACGTGACACAACAATGGTCACTTAGTGACAGGAAACCCCCCCCCTGAAACAGTTTGTTAGAATAAAAAAAAACACATCAAGACAATAAATGTCATTTAGAGTCAGGAAAAAACAAGACAGAAAATAAACAAGGATAAGAAGTGAGAAGGTATACAAAATGCATGTACATATGGTGTAAAAAGGCTTACCCCAATCACAGATCTAAAGGGAATATGCAACCATAAAGAACAGGGGAAACTATGAGCTGCATTATCTAAATGAATTGAAAAGATATAACATGTCTGCCATATTGCCCAATCTTTTGTTGTTCAAGGGCACTTTCTGAGTAGATTTTGGTTTCTGGCATATACAAATACATAAATAGCTAGAGCTGCCTGGCCTGGCCTAGTGTGGCTGGCTGGCATTATTATGCAAATGGGCATTCTGAGACTTTGAGATAATTCGTTTCCCCATCCATCTCTTTCAATTTCAAGGGACCATAATTCCGAAACATCAATGATCATGCTTTCTAAAAAAAATTCAGTAAGTAAGTTAGGCCATATTAGCACCACAAAACATATCCGCAAGGTAAACATTTTGGGTCGCCAATATCTTTTATCAAATTTTGATCTCCCAGTGACTTTCATAATGGGGAAAAAAGGCTGCAAAAAGTAAATATGAGCCAACAAACAATGTACATGTAATTGGTGCTAACACCAACCTCTACCAACACAACATGTTGGCCAGACTACATTAACAAATCTCTACATTATTATCATTACTCTACCTTTTGTTTCGTCAAGAATTGATTCAACATCCTAAGAAGCTGCAAAGTTCTCTCCTCTCGTCTCGACTCGATCAAACAACCGTCATTCACAACCAGATACGGGTACTCCTGAAAAAAATTGTTGTCAAATCAAAACACCTGTTTGTTTGAGTAAAGGGCAAAAAGTCCACACAACAACAGCCACTACATGTGGCGAAAAGACATGATAAAAATCCAACAGAAACAATAATAGAAGACAGCATTTTTTAAAGCTGCACAGCTATTATTATTACCCAAGCAGACCCTAGAACACTCTGAAACAATCTCAACTGCCTGGGAAGCAAGCTACGATTTTATAGTAACTATTCCTGGTTCAATATGGAGCGCATCACTTGAGCTAAATGAAGGGGAAGGGGGGAATGTGTCGCATGCACGTGACTTTAGAAAGCCTGGTGTTTTATCCTTGATTTGGGTGTAACGATGTTTTGCATTTAAGTTTTTGTAGAAAAGTGATGAGCAGCAGTCATGACAGTGTGCGGTCTAAGTGTACAAGTCTTTGGTCAGGGTGGCCATTGTTGAAGCATTCAGATTGACAGAGGATGGGAAAACTTTACACCTGGAAGCAGACACTAGATCATCCACAAATAGTTAAGCAATCAATGATGATGCAAATTGTTATTATTATGTTTTATACTCCCATGAACACATTTTAGCTCATTTAGGAGGCAGGCTCCTTCAACCCTGTCTGTCCCCAACAGTTAGGTTTGATAAAAACTTTCCAACTGAAGAACTGGAACTAGAGTCTTCCAAGTGCAAACGTGAAGAACTTGTTGCACCTCAAACGCCAGTGATGATGAAGTGTGAACCTGAATTACGCAAACCAAATACTCGTCATTAAAACTGAAATAAAAGACCAATACTTTAGAGAACTGAATACAAACTGTAAGGAAACAGAAACCAGTTCTTACTTTTCCGTTCTGCCCTCTGATGTATAGGCGTCTGGCTGCCGTGTTATGCTTCTGAACTATCTCCACTCGAGGCATGAAACGGGCGATGCGAACATAGTAGTGGTTGTGCTGGGGATAGAGAGAAAGAGGCAATGACAGAGCATGTGAAGGCACAACAAAGAGAAAGCAAATTTGATAGAGTAATCAAAAGACCCCCCCCCCAACAATTTTTTTTTACCCATCTCAGAAAGTTGACATTTAATGAGTGATCTAATTTTAAACTGATTTTTTCAATGCAGAGTGATAAGATTTGTCACAATGTTGAGATAAATTGAAAGAATCTAATCATAATTTCATTTTTTTATACAACAGAGTAATAAAACTCAAAGTTCACCACTTCTAACATTGCTATCAGCCCTTGCACTGTAATAACGTTTACAGAAAAACAAACACACAAATATACATTATGGTTTATTGATAAGTCTATCTATCTATCTATCTATCTACATGTATATCTACAGGCAATGCACATTGTGCTACAACAGACCCTACCGCCTGTACCTTAGGCAGGAGAAACTCTCCAGGCATTTCAATCTCCGCCGTGTTGGCAGTGAAGTTACTCAGCACACTGCATTTTTCCTCGATCAAGAAGGACCTGGTCATAAACAAGAAAGTCCTCATTACTATAATTGAGACAATAAATGGTAACACTTGAACTTAGTATTTCAAGTTCATTTGAAAGAACGGATGAATATCTAAAATCATATTATTTCACTATGACTATTAACTATCTAAGAGAAATTGTGACTTAAAGGTCACAACTTGACTATCACAACACATTTCTTTCTTCATTAGTGCCTCTAACATTTCACGAATGACTTGAATTTGTAAAATAAAAAAAAACAAAACCCAGAACTCAAGTCTCGTGCAAACCCCGCCCTCCCTTAACTCAACATTGAAAAATCCTGAGGAAATGGTAGACATATATTGAATGAGGAAAGCATTTCTATAGACAGCTTTTACTCATTATTTCTATTTCATGTCCCAAAACTATTTGTCAAAGCTGGCAGCTTTTGTCATACACAAGAAAAATGATAAATAAAAGACAGTCTCTTAGTTTAAAAAAAAAGAAACCCAACTTATGTGTTTTCACTTAAGTCTTAAGTAGCATGTTTCATCCTGTACAAAATTAAAAAAGGAAGTTATGTATAGCTAGTGATATGAGCATGCTAAATATAAAAAGACAACTTATTCGATAGACAGGCATACATATTTGATGATCATGACTAATGGCCAAGGCTGTCATTATTTCTAGTGGGACCAAAAAGGCATCACACACTATAGCTATGTTATTATCTGTTAATTTGCAACTGTGAACAAGAGAAATGACTCACTTTGGAAACAGCTTTGTCTTAGCTTCAAGGATCTTGATCCACTTCTTCAACTTGTTGATCAGATTGTGAAGTTTTGTGGAGCCAGGGACACTGAAATGGGTAACAGGGGTATGAGCAGAGTATCCTCATTGTAAATCAGAGCCAAGACAAGAGGAGAACTGACAAAGTATATGCTGATATCTTGTAATAATACACTGATGAATCTCTTCTGCACTATTAATCTGAATTTCTTCAGAAATATCAGCTTCCAGTGGTAAAGTCATGATGAAAATACTTATTTTCCTCAAGACAAATCAGGTTCATAGGCAGACTTCTTTTAAGAATGCGTTCTTAGGAATGCAAATTATGGAGAAAAATGTTGTTGCGCAGTTAACGTACGCTCATTTGGCAGACTGGTTTTTTTTACTCTGCATGTTTTCTGAAATGGAGACAACAGTATTTAATTTTCGTACAAAGCACACACCTGAAATCAAAGTCAGTGGTGAACTGGCTCTTCATCTTCTGGAAGACAGGGTCCTGTGCCGTGGCCTGAGCTCGGTGGGCCAAGGACTCAGAGGCTGCCCCACACAGGCTGGAGGAGGTAGAGTTGACGTTCTCCAGGCCCACGCCAAACGTGCTCACAAGCTTCTTGATGAAGCCCAGGGTGTGGGGGGTGATGGTGGCGTCTGTCACTGGGGGTGCATGTGTGAGTAGATGTGAGGTGCAGTGTGAGGGGAGAAGGGGAAACGGGGAGGAGAGGAAAAAGGAAGGTGGGAGGGGGAAAGGGTAGAGGGGACAGTGGAGGAGAGGGGTGTATGTGTGTGTGTGTGTGAGTGAGTGAGTGTGTGAGTGTGTGAGTGTGTGAGTGTGTGTGTGTGTGTGTGTGTGGGTGTGAGAGAGA